GATGAGCTTTAATCCTTGGTACCCTGACCGCATGAATTTAAGCTTAGTACTAGATTGGCAACAAGGTCATTTTACTAGATGCAACTGTAAGTTCTAATAGTTTCTTTTCTCACACTTCTCACCTGTGGAACTCTCTACCGGTTTCTTGCTTTCCTATCACCTATAATCTTAAAAAATTTACATGCAGCATTCATCACCATCTCCTGTGTTCCTGAATTCTGCTCCTGACTAATACCTTTCTCTTTTTCTTTCACTCTCAGTAACCCCTTGCATTTTAGTCACACTATCACCTTGCAATGGTTGAAATGATTAAAAAATAGGTATTTTATTTAAATTGTGATAGTAATATGAAACTGAAAGATCTTTGTTATAATGTTTGATTTATTGATCAGTGAAAGATGACTCTGGTGTAGTAGAAAGATAGAAATTGCTTAGTTTGGGCACAAGGCCACACTGAGCACCCAGTGAAAATTGAGCTCAATACCATAAAGATTTATGTGAAAATATTTGACCCTCTGCCCTTTTCCACTATCTAGAGTGAAGGCTTACAACTGCATCATATTGAAACATTGGTTCCTATATGATGACTAAAGTTAGGCAACATCAAGACTGGTCAACACCTAGATGGTCCTACATATCAGCTACCAATCTGCCACTGAGTGGCATGCCACTAGCATTTAGACCACTGGTGTGTTTGTCTCCGCAATGTTACCACTAGCGGACTGCTAGAGGGCCACTAGTGGCCTGCGAGTGACTGCCATGAGAGGATTGCTGGTGTTGCCATTGGCAGAAGGCCACTAGCAGCTTGCGTGTGTGTGTGTGCAATTATTTGGGAATAGCAGGTCCTGCAAGCTTGAATGTGCATGTGGTGTAATCAATAATGGCTGTGAATTTTTAATCAGAGTTGAGTTCCAATTCCTGTTAGGTTCATTATATTTACTTACGTGCAAATGCTCTTTGGAAAGTTATGAATCCACCTTTTCTCCTTCCAGCTTGTATCACTAAACCATTATTATCACACAAAAAAAAAAATTCTTACAATCTAAAACTATTTTCTGGCTTTAAATAACCTGCAAAGGGTTGATAAGCAAATGAATGAATGAATCAATCAATATCTAGAGTGAATATATTTCCATCCAATGAGGTTTTTGGATGGGACTTTTTGATAATTCTTATTTCTGAGCCTGATTATGGTGATGCTGTGTCTGATTCAAGGTAATTATATATATATATATATATATATATATATATATATATATAGTTATGAAGAATTTGGTAAACCGAATTGGTAAATCCAAGAAGGATGAAATCCTGAGAGCTCAATGTGAAGAACAGAGCTAATATTTAATGAACAACAGACACTTTAAGGTACCATTATAATAATTTATTTCACCAAAATCCTTTTTAAAGGATTTCGGATCATCAGGTAACACTTCCAACAATGAAATGAGAGGAAAAATGTGATTAGAAATTGATGGGTAGTGTAATTTTTGTAATTAAACAGGGAGGGTGAAGGTGGCGGTTAAAGAGACAATACAAAATATAGTGAGGGTTAAATTTACATCTCTCTTAAATAAGCCTTAAATTGGGGTAGGAGGAGGACCTAACCTATATATATATATATATATATATATATATATATATATATATATATATATATATATATATATATATATACTGGAAAATAAATCTTGAGAAGATAATTCCCTCTCAGGATTATTTTTAACCAATCAAAATATCAAATTTGAAACCTATGTCAATTTTGAAAAGTGGCTTGGAATCTTATCAGTACAAATGTTAGGAAAGCATTCATCTATTTTAATTATGGTTCATTCATAAAACAACTCTGAGTGGGTAGTCAGGGCAGATGGGGTCAGCAGATCAATTAACACTTCAGTGGTGAGAAGAGGAGGATGCTGGACTCTGAGATATCATATGATCAAGCAAAAATTCCAGGACATCACCCAAAACCTTAAAACAGACAATTTTGATTATGTATACCCACCAAATTTTCCTCAAAGATATATGATACAACTCGCTTGTTGCAAGTAAAATTCTTCAAGGCTGTGCCAATTTACACAAGTTTATCACATGGCATTCACTTGACAATTTATTCAACAACAGATACTCCTGCTACTATTTTAACCTATCAACTTAAAAATTAAACAGAAAATTAACAACACCTCATTAACTTTACTGACACTAAAGCCTTTTTAAACTTTAGCAATTAATGTAAATCCCACTTTGCTAGTTTAATTTTTTAAGCATCCAAAAGAATATTTTGAGAAAGCATCTACATCCTTCTTTTTGCATATTGTAAACAAATTCTTTCTGTTTCAATTTTACATTGAATAAGAGTCCTGTTTTATTGTGCACTTAGAAATAAGTAATTGATATTTTCTTTTGTTTTATGTATAGGAAATTCCCCATACTACTACTAATAATGGATGTGTGAATTGCATAATGGTTATCAGCATGGAAAGGAAAATTTTGAAAACCAAGTTCAAAATCTGACCCAATCTGTTGCTTTCATTTTTGCACTAATGCACTTGGTAAAGGCATGAAACTATCACTTGTCACGACCCTAGCTATGGGTTAAATAGCACAGTAGAATAAGCTCATTAGCCTTGGATGGTAGAGATTCTAGGAAAAGGATGACTGATTTCAAAACTGAGTGGAAAATTAAAAACTACTCCACTATCTTTCCCAACAAGTCATGACAATTCACAGATAATGAAGATTAAAAGAAACTGTGAAAAACCATGAACACCAAGTACCAGGGCTGGATTACCCTTTTTAGGCTAGTATAGGCTGCAGCCTAGGGCCCTCAAACTTTTATAATGCAATGATTTTAATTTTCTAGATGATAATTTCAGTTTATGAAACCATTTAGATTTAAAATTTTAGAATCTAAATAGTTTCATAAACTGAAATTATACCAATATGATAAACAAAGCAAAGAAAAGAATGCTTTAGTTTATGTCATTGTGTTTGGAATAGATAAGTTTTTTTTCTTCTGTTGTCTGGTTTCAAAGAAGGTGCAAAATAAGTAGCAATGGCTAACAAACTTGAACTAAAAGTCAGAATTTTGACAGAAGTTGCTTAATGACAATGTTCATTGTGCAGTGTGGCACTTGTACCATTTTACATTCTTGGGAAAGGTATGACTTGACATCCCTGTACTTTCCCTACATGCAAGCCGCTAGTGGCTTATTAGTGGTCTGCCAGTGGTAACATTGCCAACACAAACATGCCGGTGACCTGATAGTAGGCCACCAGCAGTCTTGTGGCATGCCACCCAGTAGCAGATCGGTAGCTTGCGTGTAGGGATCGTAACACAAGAATGTCTTTAAAAAAATATCTTGTCTCTGACATGCCACACATGGTTACAAAAAAAAAAGGGTAAAGAGTGTGTGTGTTTTGGCAGACAGATATTTTTGCATTTCCTACATACCACCCAGGCAGTAAAACAAAACTGCATTAAAAAAATGAGAAAACATTGCTCCCCACTGTCAACCTCAACAACAGATGCTTACTTGCATCCTTTAAATAAAATAAAAATGGTTCAAATCAGTTTGAAAGTTTATAGTGTCCTATAATTCGTCTTTGCTCATTTTTTTTTTTTTTTTTTTTTGTTTTTCCTTTTTTATAACATATGTTACTTGTATATTTAGAGAAAAGAAGAAAAGAAAAACGTTTTTATTCATGTTAAGGACTTCAAGAACTGAAATAAGATAAATTCTGAGAAAAATTTAACTATCCCTAAAATTATTCTTGCAAACCTAACAGAAAGTAAGTAAACATATGATGTAGATATTTCCATCTGAAGACATCTTTTGTCAAGAAAATTTTAAACAAATGCATTCAAAATTACATAGCACAATGACATTGCAGCAAATAAATATTGTCCATTATTTACACTATTGTCCTCATATTTGTCGCCATATTTATTACAACGTTTCGGCCTTCTTCAGGTGGTTGAAATGTTGAATTGAACCCTTTATTTTGCTCACTGGGGTAGACTGTTCTAATTCCATGTGCCATGTTTAAATGGATGTCAGTTATCAGTTATCTCCTGTTAATTTCTGCACTGCCTTAACTGGGTATTGAACTCACACTCTTTGGGTCCTGTCACTGGATCTAACTAACGCCTTTATCCACTGTGCCATGTTTCCTTGAGGAAGAAGGCCGGAGCGTACAACAGCTGAAACTTTGTAATAAATATGGCGACAAATATTAGGACAATAGTCCGAATAATTGTAAATAATGTACATAATACCTCATCTCAGAAATATAGACAGATAAATTATTGTCGTCTTACACTTTTTTGTATACTACATACAGAGTACACACTTAAAAATCTTTAAATTTAAAAAATGTTAAATGTGGACATTTTCAGTGAATAAAATGGTTTTACTTTTACTTTTATGAAAATTTACGCAAAAAGATTTAATATATTTTTCTCGACGTAACAAATGTTGAAGATGTTGCCAATATAAAGACACCTAACTGAACAAGCACAAATGTTTTGTAATGCTGGCTTAATTATTTCATTATCAACAGAAAACGGTACATTTTTTCTTTTGACAAATAAAAAAACAAATCCTCATTTATGCGTATGTAAACAACCAAAATGACGGTTGTTTTTTGTTTAATTCAGCGGAATTATTTCAACTTTTTACAATGGAAGACATTTATCTTTTCGGGCAGTGGTTAAAATTTATTTTATGAAACACAAAAATTGTGTTGGCTTCTTTTAATGTAACTGAGTCTTAATTGTAGTTTATCAATGACATAAATTTGTGCAGACTACAAATGGGCAGCCATGTGGTTAGGCCTTGTGGGATTGTTAGTTTCACTTCCGCTTCCTGGTGAGAGACTAAGGCTGGGACCTGTACGTAAACGGAGCAGAGTGGCAGCTGTGTGCTCGACACTCATTTAAGTCGGATACTCTTCAGCCTCAAGTACTTTTTCTCACCTGTCCTGATTTATCCACAACCATGAATTCAAGACGGTAAGTTATTTCACTAGCGTGTTATTGGCTTATTTTCATATTGTGTAGACATTCTTATAGTGCGCTCCTCCCACCGCCTTAGGCGGTGTATGTGTGTGTGAAAGAGAAACGATCAAGAAGACGAAGAAAAATGGGGAAAAAGATATGAATCTCGAATGACGAACATCACATAATTCCACTGCTCTCACAAGTAGCTAATACAGTACTTAGTACGCTTAATTCATAACAATAAGAATATTTCCTAGAGCCTTTTGATATTAACTTCTTGGGAAAGTGTGCATGAAGTTAGTTAAGTCGAGAGAATCATTTTTTTATGCCTGTTGTTGTACGGGTCCTGTTCATTAGAGATTATTTATTGTTTGATATATTTTTTAAATATCATTGATCATTAATAATCATAATTCTTTTATATTCTCACAAAAGGAGAGTTTCTCTTTCTTTATTCTTTTGATCTTTTTTTCCTTTCATAACAAAACATTTAAAAACAATATTGAATAATGGCCACAACATGTCTCTCTCTCCTGACAAATTCAGTTTAAAACTTAATATTAGCTCTAAATGTGGATGATAACTGAAAACAACTGTTGTATTGACAAAAATGTAAAACAATAAATACTATATATAAAATTACTGAGAAAAATGACCCTTTTGTTTTGTTTTTTAATCATTTTGTAAAGAAATACAGGTGAAGAAAAATCCCTAGTAAATAATAAATAAAATTATTTATTTTTCTCTCTCTCTCGACACTGATCTCTAGAACAAAATAAAACTCGCCTATTTGTTAACTCGTGGTTAAAGTAGTATATTATTTTCAATTGGCACCACTAGTCACTGTTTAGAACCCAGGTAAAAAGCCAGGATTTCGAATGCTGACTTTCATCAGGGCTTGTTCTACTTGAAGGCTTGACGCCACACAATCTTCCTCCACCCCATTCTTTCCGTTTCTTACGTTTTTGCCTTGTGTTGTTAGTTAACTAAACTAAGAAATAACTTAGTGTCTAATTTCAGTTGATCAACTGAAATTGTAGTTTTTGTTTTCGAAAATTAAATTTTTAGTTTTTGTATGCATTTTTGACATTTTTTTTTTTTTTTTTTTTACGATCGGTGTTAAACTAGAGACCCCAAAGTGAGTCTTCCCTTGTTTGGCCAAAGAAAGTTGGATTTCGAGTACAATAATTTTTAAATGGCTTTCCTTAAAAAGTAAATTTAAAAAAAATTATTAGTAGTAAAAATAACTAAAAAAGCGGCCTGTTCTCAGCAGTGTTCTGCTATTATTTATTGTGTAACGAGTCTTATTTTTAAGTTTTAACTTTTTAAAAAAAATTAACATTTGAATACAAAATATGAATAAGAAACATCAAATCCTTATATAAAAAAAACAAGAATTTTGTCTATTTAATTTTAATGAAATTTATTTTTTCCGTTAAATTTTTGTTAGTTAGCTTGTTGCATAGGGGTGTATTTTTATTGGTATTTCTTTCTCCTCCTACGTATTGTTTATTATTACTTACTGCTACTTAACTACTACTTAGCTTCCGTCCGTCAAAAGCACGAAAGTCCTTTTTTTTTTATTTATTTACCCGCTTTTTTGTATGTAAACAAACTTTTTTCGGTATTGAATAATTATGATTTTTCTCGTACTTAGTCGATAGAAAAAGGGGAAACGTCTTTAAAACATTGGGCAATTTTTTGCTCTTGTTCAATTAGTTCTTTAATTGATTAAAATTATTACCAAGATCGATTATAGTAAAAAAAAAATGATCGTTTTTATTTATTTAAATAAACGATTTTTGTTACCTTAGTTTTTATCGTAGAACCCATTTTGAAAGCTCATTTAAGAGCGTCATTACTCACAGAGTTGTAGAGGGAGATAATTGTTGATTATAGCCTTAAATCTCAAGTACCTAATTGAGTGTGTTTGTCCCAGATATGACACAGACTACAAGATTGACCACTAATAAATAACTTTACTCCATTGATCTTCACAATAAGAGAGGTAAATTTGTGCCTAGGAGTTTGTTTTCGAAAATGTTGGATCTTTCGCTACTTAATTTCGATTGAACAAAAATTGGTATTGGGTTTTCTTGTGTCGATTAAATTAACTGCCTATCTTAATTGTTCAAGTGTCCTTCCTTACATTTTCAGTCAAGTTTTTAGCACTGACAGTACTGTTGTTTTGTTTTTTTCAGTATATCTCTTTTTGATCTGTATGGAATAACAATTTTTTTTTAATTCATTCATTATTATCAGAAAAAAATCAATTACATTTCCTTTCATATTTCACTTTATTATTGTGATTTTCGTTGAGCTCGGATTGTTTTTAATCTGGTTGAACTGTTCTTCTTAATCAATACACGATTCTTTTAAAAATCCCCAGCCTGTAGAATAGGTACCTCTCCTTCCTCTAAAAAAGCCATACTTAAGGTTTAAAAATGCATTTAAATTTTTAAAAAATGAAAAATCTTTCTTGATTATAATTAAATTTAATTTCCAACAAGCAAAATACTTTGCTGTATTTAAAACCGAATTTAAGTTGACATGAATGATGTTTTTAAATCGCTAAAATCGGCCATATTGACAAATCTGTGAACACAACATAATTCTCTGTATTAAAAAATACACTTTTCTGAAATTTTATTTGAGGATGATTAACTGATTTAAAGTTTAATTAATCGGAAATAAAATATAGTACTTTTAATTTAAATATCGTAGAAAAGCATTTTTTTTTTTAATATGGTGTAGTGTTTTTATCAGGTGTTGACAGGTTTGTCAATAGTTAAGGGCACATAACTGTAAAAATTACTTGAATACAATGTGAACACCTTTTTCTTTATAATTTTTTTTAAATATCCAATAATTTTAGAAAATTAGGAAAATATTCTAAGCAATTTAATGTTTTATAGTATTTTAGGTACTTTGGCTTTATAGTCTTACTTACAAAAGACACCTGTTGAAGAAATGTTAGAAAATTACCAATAAATTTTAAATTTACTATAGTTACCACTCTTGTTTTCTGATAATGTCATGTGTGGATGTCCATATTTACAAAAGTTGGCACACACACACACACACACACACACATATATATATATATATATATATATATATATATATATATATATATATATATATATATATATATATATATATATATACATACACACTGAGACATGAGACGACGTGAAATAACCCTCGGTTTGCCTTTTTATCTGCCATTTTGCGTACTTGTGTAGTGTCGGCGGTGAACTTTTTCACTGTTTGATGACGGCTCCCTATCATTTTAGAAATTTATAGGGTAGATTTACCTTTTGAGAGTTTTCAGCATCACTTAAACTGCTTTTACGGCCCATCTTTTCACTAAATTCTTACACTTTTCTAATAATTTGGCACGCTCAAATCACTGTGCTGATAACAAGTATGGCGCCAGTTTGTTTACATTGCGCAGATCAGTACAGAAATTTCAGTGATTGCGCAAGTCAGTGTTGCCAACATTGTGTGAAAATTTTGTGTGAATTGATTGGACAGTTTTTGAAATATTAGAAAAAGTTATCTCGATAATAATTTGGCACACAGTGTATGTGCACACACACACACACACACAAATTCTTTTAAAAATACTGGTGGTGGGGTCACTGAATTGTAGTGTAAATTAAATAATATCTTGCATTTTTTATTTTATGATTCAGAGCAGATTTTATACAACTGGGGCTCCTGTTTGACAAAATACTTTTGATGATTTAAATTCTCCAAGGATTGTCCTTATAACTAATATGAAAATTAAGAGCTACAAAAATGAATTTTCTCAATTACATAAAATTAAATAAGTGGGTGGTAACAGATGTAATATATATTAATGTTTTTAAACACATAATCTCCGATGAATTTTCTCGATTGGTCATATCTGGTCATGAAACACATCTTAACGTAAACAATGACAATATATAATGAAATGGACTAAGTCCAACAATTATTTAATATATTTTCTGTTTATATGTTATTTTAATAGATCCAATTTAAGTAAATGCTCTGTTTTTTAATTAAAAAATTAATTTAATTTACCGGTAAATGTAATTAATACTGCACCTAGGCATAGCACATGGACAACAGAAGTGCCAATCCATATATACATACTCCTAAGTGGTGTAATGGCTGGCTATTCATTTCTGAGAACGCTTTCTGCTAGGGTGGCTAGCTAGCTAATTGCTGTTTCAGATCATGCACATTTGTGTTTCTTCAATACCCATAGAGCCAACCTGTGGTTTATACTCTATATAGTACATAGTTAGTTTCTAGGGGAGAGTGTACAATGTTGCATGAACAAGGCCAGTATGCTGTAAAAACATGGTCACAGTGATTTGTGATTTTGTGCCAGCACAACCATCAATGTCTTCTGAACAGTTTCACTTACACAATTTCACTCACATAGCTTGGGTTAAGCGGTAGTATAGTTTTCAAATACTTCCCAACATAGTTGTGTGCTGGGATTGTCTCCCTAGGCCGAAATTATCAAGCAGTTGCCTTCTTGACAAATCAACTCTGTTGAGATTCCTACCAAGATCTCCTAGCTGAAACCCTAACGTTCTAACCATTCAAAGCCACATGTCCATATGGGGTGTGGCTATGATAGTATCATGCATAAAAATACACATTGTTACTGTTGCTCAGTGATATAATTGAATATATGTTAACTTCATAGTTCTTAATCATTCAGTAAAGAAACTCTTCCTATGAAATAAGTCTTGTTATGGTTAGAAGTTTCAGTCAAAAATTTAAATGTAGTTTATATACAACATAAGTGTTATAGTTGTAACATGGATTTACATTTAATGGATGAAGTTGAAACAATTTACTTTTAGAGAAAATGTAATCTTCTCAATTATTATGACAATTCAGTTAAATATTAAACTGGAAAATAAGTATTTGTCTTTTTATTTCAAATTTTCTAGATCAGAATTAGTAAAAATACTGAAGGAATAGAGATATGGAAAAAGGATTATGAA